AGAGAGAGAGAGAGAGAGAGAGAGAGAGAGAGAGAGAGAGAGAGAGAGAGAGAGAGAGAGAGGTAGAGAGAGGTATTTGTTCACAGTCAGGAGAAAAATAAATAATACTTCCACTTTCCAAAGGTATCTAGTGTGAATATAGAAAGGACACCACCCTGGGGTGTCTCTTGGCATCAGAGCTGACTGTAGACTAGATTTCTGCTCTCAGATCTTTGGAGGGCTCTGTGCTGGATGTTGACACAGGTGCAGGCAGCAGCCCAGTCCTGGTCCAGCCCTAGCCAGGAACCCAAGAACCCAGTACTCAGGATGCACCCTTACCCGGAGGCAAGACCCACAGTTGGCCCAAAGATTTACCAGGAGCAGGATGAGGTTCAGATGGCCCTGGATGTCTAGAGAAGGATTATAGGGAGGGTGGCTTTCAGGTCAGAGGTAGTGTGATGGCGGCGACATCTCACACAGCACGGAGGAAATCTGCTTTTCACATCAAATAACTGGGATGGGGCTTGGGTGCCAAGAATACCCTTGCTTAAGGGAAACATGGAGAAGAGGCTTGGAGCCAGACTGTCCCTGCAGGAGACAATGGGGAAGAAAGAGGGCAGGAGATGGGCTGGGCTGTCCCAGGACTGAGGTGAGCAGCATGTGAGGGAGGTGGTGGGCTGCTGTTTGTCGTGGAGGCAGGCCTCCTTGTGGATTGTGGAGCTCTCTAGAGCACAGCTCGGGGTGTGGGGGAGGGCAGCTCGGAGGTTAGGGTTCTTCTCCACATTGCTGCCCACATGTGGAGTGATTCTGGAAGGGGAAGCTCCTGTCAGATCCTGTCCCATGTACCTTGCTCAGCCTCTCTCAACGGCTCCGTGGTCAAAGCACCAGACCAATGCTGCTTTCAGGCCACTTGACATTTGAGTACAGACCTGGCTGAGTTTAGCTGGCCCCGCAGCACAGGGAGGAAGAGACACACATCCCACTAGTTCTAGAAATAAAGGAAAGGCAAACATACCATGAATGGCCACACGTTCATTCAAAGTACTGGGTGTGGATTTTTTTCTAAGGTAAGATTTATTTTATTTAACGTGTTTTATGTGTATAGGTTTTTTGCCTGATGGTTGTGAGCCACCATGTGGGACGTGGGGACCAAACCTGGGTCTTCTGCAAGAGCAGCAGGTGCTCTTAACTGAGCTCCTGGATGTTGGCCTTTGACAAAGATTCTAGACCTCAGAGCATAGTGCCTCTTCTAAGCCAGTCCACAGGTAGGAGGTACACTGGCTTCCAGGCTCTGAGGCCTCCTGGGATCTCGGTGTTCTGGGGGTTCAGAGAGTCCTGGGGGTTCAGGCCCATATATTTTTTATTCCCCAGCCTTTCAGATGGCGTGATGGATGATTACTGTTCAGTGTGAACTTGATTAGATTTAGTATCACCATGGAAACATACATATGGATGCATTTATGAGGATGATCCGGAAAGGTTATTTTCCTCCTTGTGTATGTGTGTGGGTACACGTGCACACATGAGCACACGTGTGTGTGTGTGTGTGTGTGTGTGTGTGTGTGTGTGTGTGTGTGTGTAACAGCTTTGGGTGGCATTTCTCAGACACTGTCCAAATTTTGTATTTTTAAGAGGGATTTTCATGGGCCTGGAACTCACCCGGAAGGCTAGGCTACCTAGTCAGTGAGTCCCAGGCATCCACTTGGCTCCACCTCCCTAGTGCTGGAATTATGAACACACACTATTATGTCTGACTTTTTTTTGTTTTTTGTTTTTTTGTTTTTGTTTTTCGAGACAGGGTTTCTCTGTGTAGCTTTAGCACCTTTCCTGGAACTCACTTGGTAGCCCAGGCTGGCCTCGAACTCACAAAGATCCGCCTGCCTCTGCCTCCCGAGTGAGTGCTGGGATTAAAGGCGTGCGCCACCACTGTCCGACATGTCTGACTTACTTTTAATGAGGGTTTTAGGCATCCAAGTTGGGTCTTTGTGCTTGCAAGGCAGCATTCACTGACTTAATTATTTCCCAAGTCAGCTAGAAACAGAAACTCCACCCTGAACACAAGCAGTTCCATGATGGCCCGGGGTCCCTGACCGAACAGCAAGGAGAAGTGAGCTGAGCACCAGAGGCCTCTCCTCTGCTTCCTGACTGTGGACGCTGACATTCATCTCCTCTGCTTCCTGACTGTGGACACTGACATTCATCTCCTCTCCTTCCTGACTGTGGACGCCGACATTCATCGCCTCTGCTTCCTACTGTGGATGCAATGAGATCCGCTGCCTCAAGCTCTGCCGACCGACATGCCTTCCCTGACATGATGGACTGTATCATCTGGACCATCAGAGTGTGAGCCAACACAAACCCGCCTCTCTTAGGTTGTCTTTGTTAGCTATTTTGTCATGGTGATGAGAAACGTGAGTACTAATACAGACGCCAACTGTCCTTTGGTAACCTACACAGACACACATGTGTAAAATTTTTTTTTTTCTTCGAGACAGGGTTTCTCTATGTAGCTTTGCACCTTTCCTGGAACTCACTTTGGAGACCAGGCTGGCCTCGAACTCACAAAGATCCGCCTGGCTCTGTCTCCCGAGTGCTGGGATTAAAGGCGTGCGCCACCACCGCCCGGCACATGTGTAAAATTTAAAATGTGCTAAAATGTGGGGGTGGGAGGGAGGTGTGTGGCAGTGCACGTCTGAAACCCTAGAGCTGCAGGGGCAGAGGCAGGAGGATCTCTGGGGTTCACCGGCCATTACTGACAAATAGGTGAGCTCCAGGTTCAGTGAGAGACTCCGTGTCAAAAGTAAGGTGGAGGGACAGTGAGACAGCCCGGTGGGTGAGGGTGTTTGCTGCCAAGCATGGAGACCTGAGTTGTCATCACACACACACACACACACACACACACACACACACACACACACACGGTGGAAAGTGATCGAGAAATATGTGTGACATTGACTTCTGACCTCTGTATCACAGACACCCTGTGCACGTGAACCCACAACACACACACACACACACAGACACACACACATGGTAGACAGTGATAAAGACATGTGACACTGACTCCTGGCCTCTGTATGCACAGGCACCCTGTGCATGTGAAC